AGATTCATTGGACATCAGCAATGATATCCCTCATTCCACGACCTCTTCTGAATCTGGCTTTCACCTCTGGAAGTTGTCTGTCAATGTATGATTATAGCCGTTTCTGTATTACCTTTAGCAAAACTTCACTCGCATGGAACCCTCTTATATTGCTGGTGGTACTGTTAATTGGTTTAGCCACTCTGGAAAATGATATGGTGCTTCCTCAGAGAGTCAGAAATAGAAATACCGTATAACCCATCAGTCCCCGTAATTGGTATATAACCACAATAAATAGAGCCAGGACATGAGTAGACATATGCACACCAATGTTCATCATAGCACTATTTACAATAAAAAATGATGAGGACAACTTAAATGCCCCTCAATGAAAGTATGGGTAAACAAGCTTTGGTACATACACACAATGGAATACTATTCAATGCTATAAGAATAACGATGAATCTGTGAAACACCTCAGCATGGATGAACCTGGAAGACATTATGCTGAGTATAATTAGTCAATCCTAAAGGATAAATATTGCTTGAGGTCATTATTATAAAAACTCAAGAAAAGGTTGTCATACTAAAAGAAACATTCTCTAATGATTACCAGAGAGGGAAGGAATAATAATTCACTGGCTACAAGTATTCCCTTCTGGTTTTTTCTATAAAAGCCTAAGGTTTCTTGCTTGCTTTTGTCTCTCTAAAATTAGTTCAGGAGGAAGGAATTAGGAGTCTGTGATACTAGACCACCATTTTCACTTCTTTTTTGATTGCTAAATCTTATGTGCTGATGAGAGGCTCTTGAATTTCTTGGAAAATTTAAACGTGTTAGGTCTTCCAGGAATAATCTTCAGACACACCAGCCTTCCTCTCATAAGTGTGTGCTCCAGATTTGCCACTGTCTGTTTTTATTGGACCAGTGAAAAAGGGAAGATTTCTTCATGAGATAGATGCTTCTTCCTGAGTATTTCCATCTATTTGTCATTGAGTGAAAGCAGAAACATAGTTTGCATATGTTTGTTTATTATCGCAGTTTGCAACTAAAAGCTTTTCTTCCCATTATGCCTGGTCCTGCTTTATTGTCTATAGTTGGGCTAATGATATTTTCCAGCTTGTTGAGAACATTATGAAATTTTCTTTTTTCTGCTGTTTTCTTATTGGTACCTGTTCTGGCTTCATGCTTGCTTGCTATGGATATAGCAGTGGTTGTTAGCATGGCAGTAACAGTGGTTGTGGGCGTTTAATTTATGGTAGAATGCATTTTTTTTCCTTCAACTTGTGTTTAGAATTTTTCATGGTTTTTCATCCTGGCTTTGTTGTAATTTGTCTGGTTAATGCTAATGTTATCGGAGGGTGTGGCTCTGTAGGGTAAACACTGGACTGCTGACCACAGGGACTGTGGTTCAAACCCTGTAGCCACTCTGCAGGAGAAAGATGAGGCTGTCTGCTCCCATAAACATTTACAGTCTCAGAAATCCTATGCAGGGTCACTGTGAGTTGGAATCGACTCCATGTCCCTTAAGCACTGGCCTACAAACACAAGGTCCTGGTTTTAAGCCTACCAGCTGCTCCACGGGAGAAAGATGAGACTTTGTGTTCCTGCAAAGATTTAAAAAGCCTTGGAGACCTTATCCATGGTCACTATAGAGTTGGAACAGACACGAAGGTGCTTCAACAAAAACAACAGTGTAAATCAGGGAGAAGTATCAAAATAGTTACCAAAAAATGACTGCATTATCTTAATACTATTAAATGTCTTTCAGAAAACAATTACTTAGGCGTTGCCAGATATTTAAAATGAATACTCTTCACTGTATTTTTTTTATATGATTTAGATTTTTCTAACTATTTTGTTCACTTTTAGTCTTTAAAATTTTTTTTGTTGTATGCCTCATAATTTTATTCTTTATATCAATAAAATATATATGTATGTCAGAAATATTTACCTCTAAATGTAAAATTAGAGCCCTGGCATAGTACTGCGGGATAAGCATTGGGCTGCTAATCATAAAGGTCAGTGGTTCAAACCCTCCAGCTGTTCCTTGGAAACTGACTCAACAACACTTAACAACAGCAATAACCAATTTAAAATTGATAACCATGAATAATTGTGGACAATCTTTGATGAATGTAATCCTCATTTGGGTTGTATGGATGGATCTTCACTATTAGATGGTTCAATCTTGCACCTAAATAAGAAGCTTCTCTTAATACCTGGTGATTTTTGTACCTGTATCTTACAGCTATCCGTATATATTTTGAGATCTTTTGTGTGGTGTGCCAATGTCTGTGGTGAACTGGATGTACTGAGAAATTCCTCCTATTCTTAGGGATGTCCAGTCTGGTGTTTGAATATTTCTAGAGAGGCAGAGTCTCCCATTTTATGATGTATGCATAATTCATTCAGTTGATGAATTGTTTTAAATATTCTTTTTCATATTGTGTGGAAGTTTGCATCCTAGAATGGTTCTCTTTGACTGTGTGGTATAAATTTTGTTTCTTTTCCAACAGCAACTTGTCGCTCTCTTTTCTGTGTTATAAAGCTCCAATTTGGTAATTGCTTCTCTAGACTTCTGTATCTTGATTATCATATTTATAGAAGTGATTCAGTTTTGCAAAGATTTAAAAAATGTTAAAAATTAAACACCAGAATCTTAATGTGTCTTGTCTATGAGGTTGTTGTTGTTGTTAAGTACCATGGAGTCAGTTCCAACTCATAGCAACCCTGTACCGGGTTTCCGAGGCTGTAAATCTTATGGGAGCAGAATGCCTCATCTTTCTCCCGAGGAGCAGCTGGTAGTTTCGAACTGCTGACCTGAGGCTGGCAGCCTAACTTGTAACCACAATGCTACCCCAGAGTTCCTTACTCATGGAAATAGCAGTTAAGAAATCAAGCAACATAGTTAGTGCATTAGGCAAATCTGCTGCATAAGAGATCTTTAAAGTGTTCAAGAGCAAAAATATCAGTTTGAGTATAAAAGTACACCTGAACCAAGCCATGGTATGTTCAGTAGCCTCATATGCATGTGAAAGTTGGATAATGAATAAGGAAAACTGTATAAAAATTGATGTATTTGAGTTATGGTGTTAGCGGAAAATATAAAAAGTACCATGGACTGCTACAAGAACAAACAAATCTGGGATAGAAGTACAGCCAGAATGCTTCTTAGAAGCCAGGATGGCCAGATTTAGTCTGTCATACTTCGGATATATTATCAGAAGGAACCAGTCCCTGGAGAAGGACTTCAAGCTTGGTAAAGTGAAGAGTCAACGAAAAAGAGGAAGACCCCCCAACCAGATGCCAGCAGTAATTAACTCAAGCATAGCAACAATTGTGAGATTGGTGCAAGATCGGGCAGTGTTTCATTCTGTTGTGTATAAGGTCGCTATGAGTTGGTACCGACTTGATGGCACCTTACAAAAACAACAATGTGAATGATGCTATTATGAATATTTGTACACCTTTTTGTGGAGATATATTTTCAGTTTTTTGGAGTGAAATTACTGGATAACATGGTTGTTGTTGTTAAGTGCTGTCGAGTCAGTTCTAACTCATAGTGACCCTGTATAGGGTTTCCAAGGAGTGGCTGGTGAGCTAGCAGTTCAAACTGACCTTGTAGCCCAGTGCACTAACCAGGAGCACCACACCAGGACTCTGGATAACATGCTATCTATATTTAATCGTTGTGACACTGACAAACTGTTTTCCAAAGTGGCTGCAACCATTTTTTATTCCCATTATAATATGAGGGCTCCAGTTTCTTCGTTTATTTATCCTTTTCACTATAACCATCCTAGTGGATTTGAGTATCTCATTGTGGTTTTGATTTGCATTTCTTTTATGTCTAATGTTGTTGCACATCTTTTCATATGCTTCTTAGCTATTTATATGGAAGAAATGTTTATTTGTAAACAGTTGCTATATATTCCCTCCTTTAATCTGTACAATAGCTCTGTAATTTTATTCCTACTTTACAGAAGAAACATGTGTTTGTATAGTCTATATCATTTGGATTATGTTTTCATTAACTGTTTACCTAAATTTGGACATGTAATTATTTTTCCTTTTCCTTTACTTGCACATATTGTTTTAGCTCAGAATGAAAAGCTATGTTCTTTGAAGACTGTATTTTTTTATTTTATTTAAGTTTTTATTGTGAATGATGTGGGTTTACATGGGAGAACATCAGTTTTACATTCATCCTATTGTATTTTGTTTACAATGATCACAATCTCCTCCATGCATCATCAAATAACCAAAGGGTACACCCCATAGGCCGACTCTGTAGTTTTAATATCAAATTCTTTCCTTCTGCAGCAGTGTATAAAAATGTCCATTTACCCTCTCATGTTAGCAAGAGTGATGTTCTTAAAAATTGCATTCATAATGTGGTAGATATAAATATCTCATTATTGAAAAATGATATCTCATTGATGTTATAATTCACTTTGGTTATCAGTGAGGCTGATTTTTTCTGCTTTTTAATAATTTTTATTTTCTTGTTTGTATATTGCCTATTCATTAAAAAATTAAATATCTGGCATTTTGCAACATATACATGAATTTCTATGAAACTTACCTGTTTATTTCATCCAAAAATGTGGGTCATTTTTAGTGCTGGCTTCTACATGTTGGTTCTTGTCAATCCAGAGACATTTAGTAATCTCCTTGGTAAAATGTAAGACTACACTGTTTAGGAACTCTCAATTTCTGACCAGAGTAATGAATTCTGTTCTTAAATAAGAAATCTAAGTTTGGCTTATTGACTGATGAACAAGGTGTTCACATATTCAGTATTTCTCAATTTGTATCATTTTCACATTTGATAAGCATGTGGGCTCTTACATAAATAAATAACATACAAGGGGGTTTCAAAAGTTTTCAGAAAAATAGAATTAAACAATAATGGAATTTATCTATTAACTTTTTGAAGTCCCCTTATATAAGAATTGTGGTGGCATATATAGTAAGGTTGATACAAATTAATTCATTTCTGTATATTTTCTCTCCTTAGGTGGTCCATGAATTAGAACTTTATAGCACAGGGTATTATATAGGCATGCACATGGATTCTTTTGCAGTATTTAAGGTATGTTTAATTTGCTATCTTATTTGAAAAGACAGCAATATCTTTTATTATTACAGAATTTAATGAGTAATCATTATGAAATGTCAACTTTTATTAAACGTATTGCTGAAGTAGCTTGTTATATTAGTATAATTTGAAATTGAAAAAGAAACATTCTTTTAGTTTTAAAAGAAAGAAAAATTCAGCATTAGTGAAATTCAGAGAAATGTCATAAAACAAATAACTTCCTCCTTTATATTATTTTCCTTTATATGACTCTTTATACATGACACACACAAACATACAGAGAGAGAGAGACAGAGAGAGAAGAGATTTTGATTGATTGAGTGTATGCACGTTTGTACCCAAACTCTCTAAAATGAGCAAGAATGAGTCTGAGGTGAGGGAGACAACTGATAGTTTAGAGAACATTTACATGCATACTTTAATAGAAAATTAAAATGGTTTTTCCTAGGAATGTGGCCTCTGGGTTTTGACGGATGCAAACCTTACCAAGGATTACATTGATGGTGTTTGTAAGTAAACCATGGCATTATGATTGAAATATATTTAAGTTTCTCAGTTCAGATATTTAATAGTTGTTGGGTCCTGGTGTGGTGCTGTAGGATAAATATTGGATTGAAAAGTTAGTTTGGTCAGAGGTTCAAACTCACCAGCCGCTCCTCAGAAACTCTATACAGGGTTGCTGTGAGTCAGAACTGACTTGACGACACTTAACAACAATAACAACATTAGATCTGGATGTTTTTCTGGCTTAACATGAATATTATGATTTTCATGTCTTAAGAATATTTGGAATTTATTAAACTTCAAAGTTAAAATTTTTATCTGACCATGCCATCAAGAATGTTTATCAGGACTGCTATCTAAATCTTTGAAATGAATGCTTTCCACGTGCTCTCTGAAATTCTTTGAAGGTGTTATATTTTGGGGCACATTGGCAGCTTCTGTGCCATAAATGTGTTTTCTATTACAAACTGTGTTGTATTTTGGAATTAGATAAAAGGAAAAACATCTGTGTTGTCCTTTATATACACCTGGAAAATAACCCAGATGCCATAAAGTATGCTGGCATATGGGTGTGTTATGTTTGCATATTTGTGTACATGTGAGTACACACACACACTTTGTCAGTCCTGGGAGATTTAAGTTCTTCCTGGGCAGGATTGCAACTATGCATCCTGAGTACCCTGAGTTGCTCAGTGTGGTGGCTATAAGGCAGCCATAAGTACTGTGATTTTTAGGAAGAAGTCAAACTGTTTTGACTGAAGTAAGTGTATAAATGAGAATGAATAATTCTAGAAGTCATTCTCTTTTTCTTCGTCTTGAAAGGTTTCCTGAACTGTCACAGTTTCTATTCCTGAATAACCTGTTTTTTCGGAAGTGTTCTCAGTTCCTCCATACGAAGACTCAGGCAGAGTCTCTGAACTGGTTTTTACTAGTCTGAAACCGGGGCTTGTTTCCATTTTGGAAATCTTCCATATACTGCTCTTCCAATTTCTCTGTCCCATTCCACCAGTTTAGCTTCTACAGATATTTTGTTTTGATGCTGAATTTTTGACCTCCAGTTTTTACGTGCATTCAAATTTATGTCTTCTGTGCTGTTGATGCCTGTTCTTGTTCTGACTAGGCTCTCAGTGTAAGTGTCCACCTGAATTAGTCTTAGTGAACGCTTTGTGGCTTGTTGTTTCCTTGAGACCTTTAACAATTTTATTGTAGCTTTTCTTGTCTGGATTCCCTGCCTGAACACTCACCTATGTCTTCAGGTGGCCTGCTGTGGCTGCTTTGTCTTCTAGTAAGCTGTATAACAAAGCTGGAAGAGTGGTTTCCCATGGCTCCTGTGCTTTGTTATCAGTCACTTCAGACTGAGTTTTACTGAAGTTCAAGATGATTTCCTTTTGTAGACCTTGAAAATACAGATACTATATTCAGCTCATTTATTTACTGGGCATAAGCAAAGTTTCTAGTGTATTTTGGGAGTCACAGTGGTAACAATAAATATTCTAAAAGATAAATTTATAGTCTTAAAGATACTATCTGGAGTCCTGGTGTGGCACTGTGGGTTAATGCGCTGGACTGCAAGGTTGGTTTGAACCACTAGATCGGTGCTTAAAGCTCACCAGCTGTTCCTCAGAAACCCTATACAGGATTGCTATGAGTTGGAACCAACTAAACAGCACTTAACAACAATAACAACAAAGATACTATGAAGTAATTTTGATCTTTATATATTAGACATGTAGTACATTTACCTTTTGTCATATAATCCTTTGCCCTTTATATGTACAACCTTTTAAGACTATTTTCGTCTCAGATTTCATCCATTTTTGTTCATATTTACTTATCAAATCCTGTCTGCAGCACATGGAGTATTGGAATAACCATTTTATGCCAGCAATATTTATTCTGTCCTTTACCTTATATGAGAAACTTGTTTCATCTTTTTGCTGTAATGGAAGAAACCTGACAATCTCATGAGCATATTATGCCCCTCTTGTTGTTGTGTGCCATTGTGTCAGCTCTGACTCACAGTAACCCTGTATAGGGTTGAACGGCTGACCTCCGGTTACCAGTCCAGTGCTTATCCTGCAGTGCCATACCAGGGCTCATTATGCCACTAGAATCCTCCTTATTTTTGCACTTCTCTGTATCAATGTCATTAGGCACACAGAGTTTAATATTTTCTTGGTTGCTTTTTAACTGCTATTCAGCAACCCTTAGCCAAGACTCCTTATCCTTTGAACCTCAAAATTATTTCAATTATAGCTTTATCAATATTCAGGTCACTTATTTTCCTTTTCTCTCACAAAAAATTCAATGTCTTACAATTGTTGTCATCCCAGTGAATGTGAATGTCTACATGATTGATTGATCAACGTAATGAACACTATTCTGTGATCAGAACTATGGCAACAATAGTCACCCAAGTCTATATCGCATTATCAATTGAACATTGCTTTACTCCTAATGCTTAAAAAGTCTCTCCTTCTATCTTGTATGCTCCCTTACTCTCTAAGTCTATTAGACATGTTTGGCCTTCTTGAAATCTTCCGTCTCGTGACTTCTCCTGTTCTTTATGTGCTGTTGGCTCCTTTGGGCTTCACTGTTCTCTGGCTGATTTGGTAGAATTTCTTCCTAGTACAGTGTTCTTTCATCACATCTTCCCCATTAAGCCCAACTCTGGAATAATGCAATTGTTTACTCTTGCCCTTCAAATTTTCCATCTTGATGTCCCACAAATATCTTGAATTCAATGTCACAAACCAAATTAATAAAGCAATTAATAACCCTTACAACCTTGCTCTTCCCTCCATACCTCTATTAATGAGCCATTATCAGCTCTACCTAGATGTCCAAATCAGAAACCCAGAACTCATTCTAAATTCCTTTGTCTCCTTTCAAAAACAGACAGCATAGTGGTTAAGGAAGGCATTTGCCATTGAATGTTCCTGGCTTTGAATTCTCACTGAATGATCCTGGCAAAGTCACCTAATGATCCTGGGCTTCTGGGAAACCTCAGGCTTCCCCTGCAGAATAGGGCTAATAATTTTTGTTGTTGTTAGGTGCCATT